CAAAGTAGTTTCGCTTTCACAACGAAACACACAGCGCCTTCACGACATGGCGGCAGCAACAACAATACTACAGCGAGAATAAAAGTTTTTTTACAGATCTTCTTTATGCACCAAGAGATTGTAACACTCCAAAGAGAAAGGAAAAATTGAAATCGCATCATATGACCCCTTTAAATATAGTGGTCAACATTTGAAATGGATCAAAAGTTGTCCTAAGTAAAGTTAATCAAAGTTGTCCTTAGACAAGAACGCATTTTGGTTTTAGGTTAACTTTGTTGAAAGGTTTTGATCCACTTCAAATGTTGACTACTGTATACCAATATCCCCAAAATACGTCTGAAAATAAGCTTTATCAAAAATCACATCTGAAATATTTTGGGAATACGAGTTAAGATTAAGAACCACTGATCTAGATGCACAACAGAGGAATAATATAGTTTCACCAAGAGTGGAGACATCTCAATAGGTTATATGCATCCATGACCAAAGTAAGGCAGTTAATATGGGGCAGCATGAAAACCCATGCACAACACATCTTTTATATCTGCTTTCCCTTTCAGGTACTCTGCAAACTTTCAGTCAGAGCAGATGTGTCCTGCTCCAGGTGATACATCAGCCTCATCTTAAAAAACACTGGAGGCCGCAATCCATTAAAAACATCCCTGGAGGCTCTGACCTCAACTACTGGAGAAGCTTCATTTCACGGCCCTCCATATGCATTTCAGATTTAGTCAGGCCTCCCCTTGGTTTACTGTGTTCTCTATCCCTGTTGTTTTTCTTTAAGTGGGCTCTTGATTCTGTTGCGCTGGTAGGGCCACTTGTCATGATACAGAGTGCACCTGTAATGTCCCCCGCGTCCCACAAAACACATAAATCACTTCAAAGAGCGGCTCCCCTAACATTCTCATAAACAGAGTCAGGCTCTGATTTATTTCCCTCTCCACAGACCTCTTTCTGTTCAGCAGTCCTACAACAACAAGCATCTTCCAACATCGTACCTGTGGCCTCATATCCAGCCCAAATGAACTGTCCTGTCAGATTAGTTATATATGTAAAACGGAGGGGTTAAAAGAGGCTGAAATTTTGATTTATAATTCAAATATTCAATTCACATTGCTAACAAGGTAAAATCAACTCCGAAACAATGTCTGATATGCAATGTGTTTATGGTCTTCTAACGAGGTGAAAGAGTGAAACACCCTAAATTAAGCCACCTTCTGCAACTATACTATACATAATTTTCTTATTGAGTATTCTTCTCTTGTTTAAAAAAAATGCAAATGCAGACAAGACAAGCTATGTAATTCTGACAGAAGAATATGCTGTATTGTGCATTTAATAAAATGAGTATTTCCAATAAATAAAGATACCTTAAAATATATTTTCTGACCATTCTTTGATTTAAATGTTTCATACTTGGAAAAAAGATTAAATGGCCTGTTCAGCAAGAAATTCAACAACAACAACAACAACAAAAACGATGAAATGGAAGAAGCAACAGATCTTTTCTTCTGTACTGTGATGTACATTTGAGTGTAACAGATTATTAACAAAATAAAAAGTTCTGCAGTTCTGCTCACTGGTTGTTGACTGGATGTTTAAATGTGGGTGTTGCACTTAATAATGGAGGCAGATGAATGCAAGTTTGGGCTTAAGTTGCTTATGATTTGAGAAAATTTCTGAAACGGATTAAAAATTACGAGGTCAGAAAAAAAGAGTTCACAATAAGATCAATAGACAGGATAGACAGAGGGAATTTCCATTTCATGATAACTTGAAAACTTTTTTTGTCAATGTACCTTGAACTAACTTTTTCAAAATTAATTTTTTTACTCCCAGCATATTTTCTTCTTCTTTTTTAAAGTATGAATATATAATTTTGTGGGGTTTATGCTTAAAAAAAACAAAGAAAAAAAACAAAGTGCTAAAAATAAAGAAATAAAACTTAAACAATTCAACATATTTTTTGATATTTTAATAAAACTAGACAAAACACTGAACAAGAATAGGATTATTTTGCAGTGTGACACCACAAAATATGCTAGTTGGTCAAACCACATTTGTTTATTCTATGAATGCCACAAACAGAAAACTGCAGACTGTGTGGCTGTCACAGGCATCAACTTATTTCCCGGCTTTCCCTGTTTGAAAGCCCTTCTGCCAAAAGAGACAATAATTATTTGCTTAGCAAACGCCTACTAAACCTGACTGAGTTGTAATGGCTTACTCTTTAAACCCTCTGTGCAGCTGTGGTTTTACTTGGAAGTACGAGACACTGAGGTAAGCGCCTCTTCTTAGAGTTCAGGTAGCTAAACTAAGAGATCTGTCCCAGAGACAACTGGATTAGCATGGCAACAGTCTTCTCTCTAGTGCTTGGAGAAGAGATGATGAATCAAAGTCTGTTCTTATTACAGTACCTCCTAGTTCCTTCACATTCAGTATCACATTTTCGAATGGCACTGCCTTGATGCTGAAACCTGTGGAAGAAAACGCTCATGTTAAATTTCATAAACTTATGAATTATATTACTTTATAGCAAAAAGAAAAAAAATCCAAGAATCTAAGTTTCAAATGATATGAGGTTGCATTAATAATGACATGGGACTAAATCTAGACATGTATTTGAGTGGTTTCTATGGAAGCCTGTTTCCGCCACTGAATACAAAATTAAAAAGGTAATTGCGACTATTTATCTCACAATTCTGACTTTTTTTCTCGCAATTTAGACTTTACATCCTGAGAAATTAAGTCAGAATTGCGAGATATAAACTGGCAATTCTGAGAAATTAAGTCAGAATTGTGTGACAAACTCGCAATTGCGAGTTAAGTCAGAATTCTGAGTTATAAGCTCGCAATTCTAAGAAAAATATTTTTTCTCCTCAGAACTGTACTTTATAAGACTTTATAAAGACTTTATAAGTTTTTATATGAGAAAAAAAAGTCAGAATTGCGAGATACAAACTCGCAATTGCGAGAAAAAAATTATTAAATTTTTTTTTCTGACCATATCAACCAGACAAAAAGTTAAACGTGAGTGGATACCGTTTTGCAACCAATTTATTTGCAATGTTCGCTAACATTAAAGGATGCAAGACATACTTAGCCTATTGTTTTTACATCAAACTGAATTAAAATAGCTTAACCTATAAGAACGACTTGTGGATTGATGTGAACGGCAGCAGGAATAATGCTCAGAATGATTGTGAATTAAACATCTCCGATGGCGTTTATTGCAATGGATTTTATCGAGTTACAAGAAAAGGTAGGAAAAGGATTTAATTGCGAACAGTTATTGATTTTATGTGTGATACACTGTCACGGCATTTGAGTCCTCACACGTGCAGTAGTGGGCAGCCCTAGACTGACAGCTGGCACGGAGTGAATAATCTGCATTATAAAAAGGAAAATAAAAAAACCTTTAACAATTATTTATAATTAATTATTATTGCCAAGTTATCTGGTCATTGCTTGTTTACAGTGCTTTGTTATATGGAACAGTTTGTTAGATCGCGATCTATCTAATTTGTTTGTCTAATGAAGTGGCAAGAGATGTACGTATGAAAGTACACAAGTCACACCGTAATTTAAATGCGGCAGACTTTAATGGACAGTAAAACAAAGGAAGAATACCGTATAACTCCAGGCTGGCACAGTATTGATGAACGGATTAAAATCGCAATCGCAATATTGATCAAAGAAATCGCGATAGGTTTTTTTTGTCCATATCGCACAGCCCTACACTACGTCCATGTTTTTTTACAGTCTATGCTTGGGCAATGGGCATGAGGTTTCTGACTGACATTAACACAACAGATGTCATGTCAAAGTGATCGTTTTTTGTGTTTAGTGTCTCACCAATGCGTGCAGAGGCAAACAGGGCAGCCATTTGGTACTGATTAACACAACTGAAAAAAAATGTGTGACTGAACCTTCGAAGCCCACATTAATTCAAAGCTTCATGTTCATAAGGCAAGTTTCATCAAATGCTCCACAGGTGAGAGTAAATATGTCATGAGCAGGTGAGAAGCTCCATCTAGGCCTGTTTTTGCAGACTAGTGACTCTGTCAACTTAATCTAACCATATTTCCACAACAGGCTGCCAAATAACACTTCGCTTTTGTAATTACTGCTTCACTAGACAGCTCAAGACAGGTGTTCGCACCAAAGACAAAGGTCGATCATCATTGGATGCACATTCCGGGTTTGTGTATTGTCTAGCATGCTGTATACATCACACTCCGATTGTTGAGATGTGCCGAAGAAAGCCTGACACAATTGTGTCTTCTCTTGTGAAAAGAACCATTTGTGTTGTTAGTAAAAACAGAAGTGATGTCGTCCATCTTGAGAGGTGAAGATAATCATGAATACACCAGCCTGTCACCAAGAGCTTTAATTAAATCAACACTCTTGTCACAAGGAAGAAAGTCTGTGTGACAAAACCCAGATGTTCTCAAAAAAGACATATATGCCCAAGGACCTCAACCGCAAGTGCACTCTTTCTTTGGTAAAGTAGCGTAGTGTTTAAAAGGAGGCTCTGAGGTAACCTGCAGCAATAACGTTAAACAGCTTTCAGTACTCGGAGAGGCTGAAAAGCACATGGTGACAATGAAGAGATTTTGCAGACGTTCCAGAGCGCTGGGAAAGTGTAGTGCCGGAGATATGATATATGTACCGAGTACAAGTGTGGCGGTTTAGGCAAACGCACTGCAAAAATAGTGTGCTAAGTCGATTTGTTGGAATGACTTGTCACATTTGTTTGCGAAACGGGAGCTGGGGTTTTTATTACTTGTAAATGCTTTGATTAAGTCTTTTTAGGAGTCAGGGCTAAATATGTGATTTGTTTCTCATTTTTGTCCCATTAAAAAGCATGTCTTGCTGGTTGAAAAAATGCTGCAGTATAAAGCTGCGGAGAAATGTTATATTACCTGTGGTTGGTACCGTGCCATCACTGATCTCATTGCACAAGCGAGATAGCAGACTGGTCTTGCCGGCACCGCTCAGTCCAATGCACATAACATCATACTCCGGTCTAGGTGGAGGAGGGGCCTTACAGCACAACTTCTGGAGACACTAATAATAATTTTTAAAAAACACAGAAAAGACAAACATGGTTAGTGACTATGAGTGGTTCACTTTTCACTTACATGCTGATAAGGCTAAAATGAACAATTTAAGCGTATGTTTGCCAAAGGAGACAGTCTGAAAATAAACTGAGGAGCATGAGCTGACAAATGCTAATGAAGTTCCAAAGAAAGACATCTGGCTGATGCCGATAAACTAATGTGGTGATCTGAAAGCAACACATATGGAGGAGAACTCCTGAACTCACAATGAAATGACTTCATTGACAAAATGGGACACGAAATTCACCACACAGCTGCTTTCTCAGTGACCGCGTTTACGAGTGTTCCTTCAACTTTGGCCACTTTTATGTCCCAGAGTGCATTTTTATTAAAACTGTTTTGTTATATGAAGATCACATTAAAACGTTGTTGGAAACTTTTGCTGCTTTTTTTTTTATTATTTTTTTGTGAAAATTGTTTTACTCTTGTAGCTTACCCTTACTTTCAATCTTTAAATATAAAATGTGAAAACAATATATATATATTTTGTGTAAAAATAACATCAACATCAATCAAACTTTTAACTGTACCAGTTATCAAGTCATTTCCACCTCAATGAACAATTCTGCTGTTTCAAAAGTGAGTGTATACTTGTTTAACAAGGAGACAACAGTATCAGTGAAAAACATGCTTGAGATGAAATACGAGAATTGAATAAAATTTTAAAAAATTCTAAATCATCTGGGGATCACACTGAATAAGCCACTAGAATAGTGGAAAAGGTGTTTACATATGGAGCAAAATTGGGGTAACGGACAAAAAGCTCAGATAGCCAATTGAGTTTTGCTTAAATTATTGATGACCTTTACCTGATAAAATAATAATGTTTATGGTGTTTACAAGCCCTTACAGGTTGTATGAAGGTTATTAAGCATAACTGGTTTGAGTTTGTGCATCTAAACAAACAAGATGATTTATTTACTGCCTCTCCTGCACTAATGTGGCTGAGACATCCTTTCCTATTGCTTGATATTAGGGGATTTGCTTGCCCTAACATGTAAAATAGACTGTTACCAGACAGTCTAACCCAGTCTGTGTCTGTTTAGGGGGGAGGGTGTGGAAAAGAGAGAGAGGCAGGATTCTGAGAGCTTGTGTCCTCATGGCAGCAGACAGACCTGTCACTTTATGAATCACTGTCTTTGACTGGAGGCCTGCTGGGAGACATTAGAAGGCAAATGCAGTGTGAACCGTGAATGGGATGGTTTAAGCCGGTGTGGAGAGATCAGTATACAGAACTAAAAAGAGATATCTTTTATTAGCAGGACAGAACTAGTCTGGGCCAGGCAGAGCTTGATTCTGCCCTTCACCTCTGGATTATTTAATTTCACATGGAAACATACACGCCGTGGTCTCTATATAAAGAGCAGTTTGTTTCTAAAATAGACAAATATTACGTCAGAAGAATGTTCACTTGGAATGTGAATGTACATTTTATGCATTCCCATTAGGCAAAATTATATCCGACCAAATATATTTTACATATATGCTGAATATATTTTGTAAACAGTGTGGATTAAGTAAATATATTTGTATTGAAATAGATTTCCTTTAAACATAAATCACAAAATACTGCACTTCATATTGTAATTCAAGTGGCACTAAAATACATGTCCAATCTTAAAATACATTTAAAATGTATTTGGGACAATCTAAATGTATTTGGATTGGAAGTATATAAAAGAAAAATGAGGAAATATAACTTATAATCAAAATGATCAGAAAACAGATTTATGTAAATTTACTTTTATAATCTATAAAAGCTATATTTTTGGCAATTTTGGGATATTCTGGAATATACTTAAAAATATCTGAAAAAATATACATATTTTGGTGTATGAGTTTGTCACAGCAGAAGTGTTGTTGGTCAAACATCTAAAATCTGCCTCAGAGGCCCATCTTCTAACATTACAGCTCACTCATGTATTATGTAATTCTTCCTGAATCCTAATAGGGACGGCAAAGGCTTGTAGGCAAACAAATGTGTCATTTGCTCTGGTGTTCTTCCATCACTAAAAGCCTAAATGGCTTTCACAGGCCCTTCATAGGAACAGCCACAGAGGCCGTCCTACGTAGCTGTTCGGCCGCACATGCTTCTGCTTTGTCACACAGCAACCTGGACATCTGGTTCTGTAAGAGGCTGATGAATTTACCCTATTCACCCCACCTTCACTTTCAGTGCTCAGATAGGATGATAAATTTACATCAGTTGCTGAAGGCACATCCTGGAGCTTTGACCCCACGGCCCATCAGGGCTCCCACAGGAGCACAGGGCCACACACTTCAGCGCCCCATATTGCTGCAGGAGAGCAAAATGAAGGATTTCCCAGGTGTCCGAGAAGTGCCATTTCAAACAACTGTTTGGTCAGGATTTTTCTCATGCCAGTGAGGCAGGTTGAAACGGAGACACTGCTAACAAAACGGGTTTCTATATGTCAAGAAATGCTCACTCTTGATTGATTCTTTTGGCTCGCGTCATATTGGACGCGTTTTAATTGTTCGAGAGCCTCGAGACATTACCTCACTGATGTTGGGGCAGTTGTAAAAGCTGATGAACTGCTTTTTATGAAAATGAAGATGTTTGAAGGTATAAATATTCCAGACTGACAGCAGCTGTGACACGGCAGCAGCACATTTTCAGATGAAATGTTTTGCTAAAAGCTACACACAAAAAACTCTCAGGCCCCCTTATCCCACCCAGCTTTCTATTTAAAAAAAGATGTCAAGACATCAAACGGCTGATGTAATTAAACGGTCTGGCTGAGATCCAGGCCCTGGCACCAAAACAAAGATACGACAGCACTAGAATCCAGCATGGCAGACAGGAGAACACAGCTGGGCCAAATCCACTCAGCATTACCACAATATTGAATCTTCAGCCCTTATGGAAGCAACACAGAACAATACGCCACTGCAAAAACAACTCCCCGCCTGCCAACTTCTCCTGAATAGACCCCTCGGCTGAGTGAAGGGGACCCTGTCTGCTCCCTGCAATAAAGAAAAACAGTCTTCTGACTTCCATCATGAGAAAAGTAACACGCTCTGCACTCTGCCGCTCTGGAGCAGAGTGAACAGCAGTGACAACAGAGATCGCTCTGCGGGGTTATTGGCCAAATGCTTAATTCTTACAGACACATATTGTATGGAGATACTATTGGTTGGGGGGGGGCAATGGCCAGCCGTTGCTCACTTGTCTGCTCTATTTTAAATGACAGCTTTGTATTTTTAGAGCCAATAAATGAGGGGGCGAGAGCAAGGGAAGCACCACACAGACAGACAGGGCTCACATTTCACTCATTTGCCCTGAGAGTGTGGAGACGGAGCAGACGTCTGCCATTGAAGCGTCAGGCAGTGATGCCATCCTGTTTGCCCCACCTGCACCTCTGTGCATCGCCCATCGCCATGGCTTTGACAGTGACACTGTTTGGCACCTCAAAGGATTTCTGCATTCCTGCACCTCAAAAAAGAAATGACAATTCTGTTATTTACTTAGCCTCATACTGTTATTTTTTTAAGACTGTACATTATAATGTTCTAATTCACTTGTAGCAATTAACAATTTTATTTAGACAAAACAGAATATTGAATTTCAATATCAGGCTTTTAGCAGTGTCAGTATACATGAAAATAATTATCTGCTTATCGGTATCATAAAGCTATCGACTACAGTACAAATGTAGACCGCACAAGTTTCACATTTCCTATCATTGTGAGTTCTGCACTGAATGAAATCCATCTGACTTGTTTGTTAATGGTGAGGATGTCAGTAACTAGTACTACCAGCAGTAATGCCTCACATCTTTTGCGGTGAATGGAGAATGTAATTTGGGCTGAGGTTCTGAATTCAGCACAAACCTGAGCCAACATGAATCTCCTTTCCAAAGCCACATGCATCAGGTTCATCTTTCACTGATCGGGAGGGTGTGTCTCTGGAAGTGAAGACATAGATCATCTTCTGCATTCAATAGATGGCACGCTGAAGTAAGCCCTTCTTTGCCTGATCAGCGTATTCCATCTTGCTATTAATTCAGGGTGTGGAAGTAACCTACACTAGATATAACAGCACATTGGAAAATTATTAGCCAAAATTGTGCCAGCAATGACCAACAAATATAAAAAAATGCCTCACTGTAATCAATCACAGCAAAGCGCCAAACAGCTCCAGGTCATGCCGAAACAAGTCCATAATGAACAACATCTGACAAAAATAGCACTGCAGAGTGGAAAATATTGCCGTAAAATTAGCGCAGGTCCACATTCACTTCAGGACATCATATTTCACCATCTAAAAGCAGCCTTATTATGCAAAATGTGCTAAATGCAATATAGCATGATGTGTAATAACTTGGCAACTAAAAAGCAATACCAACAGCACAACCCTCATGACATCTGGAGAATGACTTGTTTACTGATTTTATTTCTTGTTTTTACCGCTATCTTGTAATTGTGATTTTATATCTCAAAGCTATCTGTTTTTCGTTACTGCTGCTATATCATATTATTGTGACAACTAGTAATTTTGACTTTCTCTCTCAAAAATAACTATTTCTCGTAATGGTGAATGTATCTCAGAATTGATTTTCTCATAATTGCTACTCTACTTCTCGTAATTGCAACTGTATATTTTTAAACTGTCACAATTACCACTTTTACATTTTACTTGATAAAGGAATTCCATATAAGAGACCCTGATGGTTTTTATGTATATATAAAATTTTCTTATTATTCCCTTCACATTTTACATGTTTTTGACTAAACAACTGGCAGGATGTACTACCACAATATGTAAACCAAAAAGAAAATCTTAGCATTTAGCCTATTGCATTTATTCCTGATTCATATTTAGACCACAAACACAATTAATGTAACATTTTATGAAGGAATTACCAGGTTAAAATTTAGTTTATAATCAATTCTCATAAGATCATTAAAAAGTATGAATCTGAAAGA